TCCATTGAATGCTTGCCATTGATCATTAACATACTCCGAGATCTCTATGTTGTATATCTTGTGAATTAAAAAAAAAATAAAGTTTCAGATTAAAAAGAAATAAATTGTTTAATGGAAAACATAAAAAAAAAAATATACATAATCTCTTACAATATTATCTTTTATCCGATACATTTCTAATTGTTCAGATTCGCCTTCTTTATGGTGAGATCGTGAAGTTGTACGTAAAATTCCTTTTTCTTGGAAGGTCCATTTTGTTAAATCATTGACCAATGCCTTGTTACCAGATTTGGAATGCCTTTAGTAATTATTATATTTTCGTTAGAAATTATAAATTTATGAGAAAAAAAAAATTGCATAATATGATATTTACGATTCGGCTGAATTGAATTGTTGTACTGGTGAGTCAAAAAATCTAAAAAAAAATCACTTTCAAATTAAAATTTTTTTTAAAAATAACAATAAAAATAAAGCTTAAATTTAATAATCTCACTGATCACTGAAAAATTCCAGACTTCCTACGAATGTAACTCTTGCATTATTTCTTGCTTGTAACGCTGATATAAGACCAACATCATTACCAATTGCTAGAGGTTCCTGTTCTAATAACTCAAAATCACTTGAATAGGCAGTATCTTTAGCCCACAGGATTTTTGTTAATAATGGTACTGTTCCCGCTTTATGCCCTATGCCTCGAAATAGTACAGGAACCCCTTCAATTACTTCTTTACTCAAGATTGCTTCATTATTAACAAAATTATTTGAAATTAAAAGTGTATGCTTTCCATTGTCAGAAACATCATAATTAAAATGATCGATCACGTAAGTATTTCGCTCGTCAAATTCAATGTCGAACTCTCGGGCGAAATTACGAATATTTTCTGATAATTCCGAAGATACCGCCAAGAGTATGTTGCCTCCATCATTTACGAAATTTACGAGAGATATGGGAGTTATATTATCCTTTTTGTCTTTAGAGCACATTAGTTAAATAAACGATGGGTAATAATAATAAAAAAAATAAGGATAAAAATGAAGATTGAATACCTTTAGTTTTTGGTGCAAAATAGATAATATGGTCGAAAGCACG